GAGGGGTCTGAAATCTTTCCGAATGCACGTCTATAGCCTCTCTTATGGACAGCCACTCTCAATCTGCCATCTGTGCTTTCCCCCTGTCCCAGAATACCCCTCTTCAGGTGATTGAGGGTCGTAGACAGTGGCTACGTCCCAAAAGGCACTCTTTTCCCTATATAGTGCATTCATTTTGACCAGGGCCCAAAGGGCACTATATAAGGAATAGACTGAGGGTGCCAACGGGTCTGGTCACGCCAGCATGGAGACGTAGAAACCCCTGATTTACAGGAAATATTTCATTATTATTCTAGTCTACCAAAGAGTACAAGATTTAATGCTTGGTACGACAGACAGTTTCATCTGTAACCTATCAGTGCAAACAAACCTTTCAATAGAAATTAACCAAGCATATCCTTGATAAAGATTTTCATTGATAGTGTATGTCTGCCCACCCATCTTGTATGCCTGCCTGTCTGCCTACCAGCCAATGTTTCTACCCCCTGTATTGACAGCACATTCACCATATCCCACTTTAATAGCTCATAACTCTGAGCCAAGCCATTTCAAACTCCCCTCTGATTGTTTATAACTACCTCAGTCTGAAATGACTCTCTAAACAAGGCCAAGGGAAATTCTCACTATCCTCTTTTACGGGAAAGGACAACCATAAACAGCCAAAGAAACAAACAATCACACGCATGCATGGTCACAAACACACAGCCAGTCTCCGTGCAGAAATCCCCTCCGGTGGCAATGAGGGCATCAGATTGATCTTGTGTCTTGTTGGTATGCCAGACATGCCCACTGTTCATGGAAGTAGAGCATCTGTTATCTATCACCCTTTACCATCAACAGACACCAGACATGGGTCAAATACATGATGTGAAATTTAGAAATAGAATCATTCTAATTCTATGACTCTCACTACAGCCTCTTTGGCCTAGAACGTTTACTCTGTCTCTCTCTCTATGGAATTCTGAGACTGGCTTGATGATTGTCAGATTGTATACTGATAGAAGACAGGCGCAGGAAAAGTAATCGTTTTTTTTATTGCTCAACCCAACATAAGGTACGTCATGGAAAACGACGTGGACGAAGCCCAACACACACACACACACACACACACACACACACACACCTGTAACCCAAACAGAAGAGCGAGGTGTAAACCTCTAAATAATACACGGGATGAGACCCGTAATAACGAGTGCACAATTACTCGGCATGTAAACTGTAATACATTGTGATCACGAGACCAGCAGACATGGTACAATAATCGACAAGGACAATGGGGAACAGAGGGCTCATATATACACAAACTAATCAGGGGGTATGGGAACCAGGTGTGCGTAATGAGACAAGACAGTCCGGGGGTTGGTGGTAATGAACCAGATCAGTGACGCCTAGAAGGCCGGTGACCTCCGGAGCTGGTGAACGGAATGAGCAGCAGTACTGGGGGGATCCGTGACAATGATTAAATCATTCATCTAGGACAGAGATGGACAACTGGCGGCCCACGGCCCACCTTTTGTTGGCCACATTCAAATAAGAACTGATATTTTTTATTTTTTTAGGAACTCAGTCGGGGTCTCAATTTACTGTTGAGAGTTAGAATAATAGAATACACGAGGTGCAGTTTCTAAATGTGGTTGTGCATCAGCAGTCACTCAATTAGCCCATGTCAGCTTCATAAAAAAAAAAGTTAGCTGGCGCTACACTATCTAAATGTTTATTATTATTATATTATACACAACAGAAAGCTTTTTCATTCAACATGCGTAAGGCTATGCATGATGAATCTGATGAGTGATGACACGTTTATGATATCGCTGCAGGGCAAAGGAGAAAAGGACTGTTTCACCTGTGTTCATACAAGTGCTAGCACCGCCCATGCACCAACACTGTGGCTTGCAAAGGGGGCAAAAAAAAAGTCCATGCTTCACACACTGGCCGCATCTTAATTCGCAACCCTTCTCCCAAAGTATGCACTGGCGCATTCTCTCAGACACTGCTTACAACAGCAAAATGCTTGAAATCCATGACAGGGAGTGGGAGAGAAGTGTAGAATCTGAATTTAGCCTACGACCCTAATAAAATCATTATTGCAGTACTATAGGACCACTGCTGCCATCTAGTGGTTAATAATATCAAGCTTGGAAAAGGAGTTCCTATTTACAGTATTTTAGGAAGTTATCACTTGTTATTTAAACACTACAGCAATATCTAGTGGTCATTCGTTGTATTCTACTACATACACAGACAGTGGATGGAGGTGTCTGTTGAGTGGTTTGATTTTAAACTAGGCATAATAGCACCATCAGGTGGTTGTGATAGCACATCACAGTTATTGTTTACAAGAGAACTTGACTTGTTCTATTCTATTCTATTCTATACAGAGGGGTAGAGAGGGAATATTTCATTCATTTACAAAACACTCGCAAGTGACTAGTTTACAATGGTCGGTCCATAGGCTCCACTACGGGCTGAACAGTCGTACAACTACAGCCATCTCAAAATTATTACTTTGAATATATCCTATTTCCAGAAACGTAATTTCAAATGTCACACACGCACACACACTGAATTATTTCTGATCTGATCCGATCCCTGAACATGACACACCTTTTTCACTTGATATTATAAATCCAAGTGCAGTGAATGAATTTGCTTAATTGGTGTAGTAGCCAACTGGAGAGTTTTGAGCTGTTTATAAATCAAATCAAATCAAATCAAATTGTATTGGCCACATGCGCCGAATACAACTGGTGTAGACGTTACAGTGAAATGCTTACTTACAAGCCCTTAACCAACGGTGCATTTATTTTAATAAAAAAGTAAAATAAAACAACAAAAAAGTGTTGAGAAAAAAAGAGCAGAAGTAAAATAAAAAATAACAGTAGGGAGTACCCCCGCAAGTTGAGGTAATATGTACATGTGGGTAGAGTTAAAGTGACTATGCATAAATAATTAACAGAGTAGCAGCAGCGTAAAAAGATGGGGTGGGGGGGCAGTGCAAATAGTCCGGGTAGGCATGATATAGGCTACACTGCAGTGTACAATAAGGGTATTTCCAGAGTCAAGGCTTTTGAGTAATCACTGCATCAGCCAGACAATAAATGAAGCATTTCTGGTAGCTTCTGGTAGCTTCTAAAACCTTTGCTGGTTTGAATGTTTACAAATCTGCCATCAAAAACAGAAAAAAAGTGGCCTCTTTAGTGTGCTAAAATGAGTCATATAACACATGATAAAGATAATAAATATTTTTTGGCTCATGTTTTTCTAATGCCTTTTTGGAACTGCGACCGCAAGACAAGCCGCCGCGGTGTATTCTGGGAACACACGGTAGATTCAAGATGGCGGCGAGCAGGAGACTGCACAAGGTAAATATCCTGATAACTCTATTTTCATATCTCTATCAATATTGAAGTCAGAATGGGCTATCAAAGGGCTTGGTCATTATTCAGTACGACTCAGTCACGATATCGTATTGTTGTCCTAATGCGTATTTGGCCCAGAAGTGTTGAAGTAAGGTTCCGCTAAAAGCGAGAAGGCACTCTCGCTAGCTAGGCCAGCAAGCTTAAAACAGGTTAGGGAAGCACCAGCAGGGCCAGAGATAAGATTGAGAGACCGGGTTCTGGGGATCAGCAGGGAAGCACCAGCAGGGCCAGAGATAAGATTGAGAGACCGGGTTCTGGGGATCAGCAGGGGAAGCACCAGCAGGGCCAGAGATAAGATTGAGAGACCGGGTTCTGGGGATCAGCAGGGGAAGCACCGGCAGGGCCAGAGATAAGATTGAGAGACCGGGTTCTGGGGATCAGCAGGGGAAGCACCGGCAGGGCCAGAGATAAGATTGAGAGACCGGGTTCTGGGGATCAGCAGGGAAGCTAGTCTGCGACGTTGCTTGCTCATACTTAGTAATGACATCAGTCTCCGAAACTGTACAAACAACATTGACACCGATCAATTTCTGTGTATCACAACCTTGAGATGGCTAGTAGCGTAGCTCGCTAGTTAGCTATTTCCGTTACAGAGCTGTCTTCGCTGTTTTTGTATGGCTACTTTAGGTTAGCTAGGAGTTACCCAAATAGCCCAACTAACTAAATGGGGAAAGTATGTTTCGCTTACTGTGTGACTCACACGATGCACAACGTCATTGTCCCAATGTTTAAAAGGTTAAAAACTACATTGACACCGATCAATGTATGTTTATCACAACCTTGCGATGGCTAGTAGTGTAGTTAAGTTAGCTATTTCCGTTACAGAGCTGTCTTTGCTGTTTCCTACTTTAGGTTAGCTAGCTAGTAGCTACCAAAATAGCCCAGCTACATTGGAAAGGATGTTTCGCTTATTTTGTGACTCACACGAAACACAACCTCACTGTCCCAATGTTTAAAGGGTTTGCTAGAATGGGCTATCAAGAGCTTGGTCATTATTTAGTACAACTCAGTCACTATCTTATTATCGTCCTAAACTGCACCATGACATGAGTCAATTTATTCAAGTTACTCTGTTCATCCACGCGACTTAGCCAGAGCTTCGGTAGCTAGCTAATTGGCTAACTAGCAAACAGTAAGCATAAAATAAATTGCCAAGGAAATGCAATAATCTTGGTTTTGTCACCGTCTGGGTACCACTCCAGTTGGATATCTAGCTAGATAGCCAGCTATGGTGCTATCAAGATAGAAGACGTCAGTGTAGCTCAGTTGGTAGAGCATGGCGCTTGCAACGCCAGGGTTGTGGGTTCGATTCCCACGGGGGACCAGTACTTTAAAAATATATATGTATGCACTCACTAACTGTAAGTCGCCCTGGATAAGAGCGTCTGCTAAATGACTAAAATGTAAATGTAAAACTGCACCATGACATGAGTCAATTATTTCATGAGGTCATCTCGGTTTGCAGCAGTAAACAAAACCTAAACTGAAACGTTTTTTTAATTGTCTATATCTAATACAGACGCAGCTGCTAGCTAGCTAACTGAATTCTGTGGACCAAACAAAACATTCATTATTAATATGTTGTCTGTCCAGACAGTAACATGAGAAGCACACAATCATCTGTCTTAACATGTCATGATGTTTCTCTCTCTCCTCTCTTTCAGGAACTTGAAGAGATTCGTAAGTCTGGAATGAAAAACTTCCGAAACATTCAAGTGGATGAATCCAACATACTGACCTGGCAAGGTCTTATTGTCCCTGTAAGTGGTTTTATTCCCATCATCATTTGATTCATGGCTTCACAATTCTCTCATGAAGGCGATTACATTCACATAAGTCTCTGTTCTGGTTCTAGAAGGACTATTACATGAATTAAATGTCCTAACATACGGGTTGCTCCTTGGATATGGTCATTGTTGCACTAACTAACCACGGTTGATTGTCTACACATTATTCCTCTATAGGACAACGCTCCCTATGACAAGGGAGCTTTCAGGATCGAATTAATCTTCCCCGCCGAGTACCCCTTCAAGCCCCCCAAGATCACGTTTAAGACGAAGATCTATCACCCCAACATCGACGAGAAGGGACAGGTGTGTCTGCCCGTCATCAGCGCAGAGAACTGGAAACCAGCCACCAAAACTGACCAAGGTGGGTCTCAAACACACACACACACAGCAGTTCTATAGCACTCCTGGGAGCAAGCCACTAAAACTGACCACAGTGGATGAGCCTCGGCTTCCCCATAGGCACTCTCTGGTTGGAGCACTGAAACATTAGCTTGAACTTTTACACAAATCTAATAGTGCTGGATTTTCCTGAAAGTTGAGTTGATCATACATGTCTAGTAGTCAGACTGAAATCTCTATAATTTACATAGAATGTAAATTATTCTGCAATACTGACATGATACCCTGAAACGATACACTGGCATGATACCCTCACACTGGTATGATACAATGGCATGATAGCCTGGCATGATACCCTCGCACTGGTATGATACCCTGGCATGATACCCTCACACTGGTATGATACAATGGCATGATACCCTCACACTGGCATGATACCCAGACACTGGACAGTAGAACATGAGCAGATGACTGAAGTGAAAAGAAAAAAGCAACTTTGCACAAGAGAACACAATCAGTCAAGTATTCTAGTTCAATGTCATGACTGACTTTCGTTTGTGTATCAGTTAATTGTGTGCTAACTTTGTGTTGAAGATGTAGTAATTGCTTCTGTAGTCAAAAATAAAATCTGTTCATTCTGCACTGATTCAGTTTCTGCAATGTCATGACTGGCTGTTTGTCTATTCTGCAGTAATTCAGTCCCTGATTGCTTTGGTGAACGACCCCCAGCCAGAGCACCCCCTGAGGGCGGACCTAGCAGAAGAATACTCAAAGGACCGGAAAAAATTCTTTAAGAACGCAGAGGAGTTTACAAAGAAACACGGAGAAAAGAGACCAATGGACTGATCACCTGACCAGTGTGTAGCCCTCTCCTCTCCTCTCCCCAACCGAACGTCTCCTCCTCCTCGCTTCTCTCTGTACCTTCCCCCTCTCTCTCTCTCTCCTCCCCATCTCACCACACACCCTCTCCTCCATTCTTCCCTCACACACGTCATCCTAGCAGCCCAAGAGCTCCTCAGAGTGTGGCTGCAGCCTCCCCTCTACGCAGGACTTTGGATCAGACTGGTTGTCTCCTCCTCCTGGCTATAGCTCGAGGTCGTTACTAACTTTCTACTATTTTCTTAAATTAAAATATGAAAAATGAAAAAGACAGGAAAAAATAAATGGTTAGAACATCCATGTTAAATATGGAGAACTACGGAGGGGGAAAAAGTAGAAGGAAATGTGAAATGAAAAAAATCAGATGTTTTGCTGTTTGTAAAAAAAAAAAGAAGAAAAAAAAAGAGAAAAAACTACAAATCACTGCTCGAGTATCATAGATCTTTCTCCTAACTTCTGGAAGGTTTTTCTGACAAGGAAAAGTTGTGGTTATCCTTTATTTTCTTTGTTCTGTTCTCTAGTCTCATCTTGTTCTGTCGCAGCCCTAAATGAAATGTCTTACTAAAAACAAAGAAAAAAATAAGACAACCCTTTCTCTCACAGCTAGCTAGGCCCTGGAAGTGTGTCCTTAAATATTTTCCCTTTGACTTCTCTGCTTCTGGAGTTGCACTGTATTCTGTGGAACAAGCCCTCTCTCAGTTGTCCTTCCCCTCAGCTTGGAGCCAGCCCACTGAGCAGACAGACAGAAAATGGCCACTGGTAATACGCCAATATTGTCATGAATTACAAGTGTAATTGACTGGGAGATAATTAATCTTTCACACTCCCCTTCGCCGGTCCAAAATGTTTGAGGATGCCCCTCTTTGCATTAGACGTTCTGAGACTTCCTTCTGATTTTAGTTTTTTTTTGCGTTATAGGCATAAGTGCCATTGTCAAATCTGCCTCTGTGTTATAGCGCGGTTGTATACCCCACCCACTGGTTCTACAGTTCCTACCATTCTGCATGTCCTGAGTTCTAACTCCTCCCCTAGACACATTAGATAGCAGTTGTCGTCTCAAGACAGTGGGAAGTAAGAATAGTACAGACGCCGTACATTTTGTTTACTGAAACGCTCTGCACGGTCGGTCCGAAGTCTGCAGTGACCGCACAGCATTTACTGCGATACGGCCTCTGAAGTCAGGGCACGTATACTTCTTGCGGTCCGCGGAGCAGCGCAGAGCTGTTGTAAAGAAAGTTGTCCATGAAGTGAATTTGTGTTTATACAGGACCATCCAACCCCCACCTTCTATCAACCAATCATGTCAATGCGGAGCTATACGGAGCCCTCCGCACTCTTACAACATTTGGGCGGCGCACGGTGATGGCGCGGTGATGGGGTATGGAGCTCAATTTGGCCTCTGCGTGCCTCCAGAGGCTCCGCTAATTTACGTCACACCGTCCGTACGACGCCTCCGACCACATTTTCAGATCAAGCTTAAATTGGCTTTAGGTTTACTCTCCAGCCACACACATTAGAACCCCGCTGCCTTTCTCTCTCTACATAGAAAATAATCTTAGCACTGCAAACCAAATCTCATATCACGAGAGACTAACGTAAATATATACAAATCAGTGGCCGATATATCCACTGGAACAGAACAGCCCCCCCCCCCCAAAGGGACTTAGTGAACTGTCAGGCCTGGTCAGGGGGGCAACGCCAGGGGAGTCTAAAGACTGAGGGGGAATCCAAAATGGCACCCTATTCCCTACATAGTGCTATACAGAACCCTATGTGCCCTGGTCATAAGTAGTGCACTAGGTAGGGAATAAGGTGCCATTTGGAACACAGACTGGGTTAACGCACAGAGACGGTGATCCTATATAAACAGGCACCTTATATCGAGCTGTGAGAGGGCTAACTGTCTGCCAGTAGGGTGTAAACAGGACAGGGACTGGAGCCGTGTGACTCGGTCCAACGTTTCATAATAAAGATGGCTAACCATTTGGTCTCATTGTCTGGGTGCTGTGAGCTTGTTCCTGTGTCTGGGTGAATTAATGGTTTGGGAGTGGGATTACTTTATTAAATGTAGTTTTACAGGGACAGTGCACATGATCAACATTACTGTAAAAGTGCCAGTTTTAGCCAGCCGGCTAATTTTCAACTGCAGTCCCTGCCAGGATATACTGTAAGGAAAGGTAAGAGTGACTCCATTTCAAAGGGATTCCGCAACAGATAACGAGTCTCCAGTCTGAGTGAATATGTTGGGATTCAGGATCTAGACGTGAAGCAGAAAGTTTGAGGTAAGAATGACGCCACGCAAAGGTATTCTGCAATAGATTACGAGTGAAATCTCCATAATAGTACGGTCTGTCTATTTCAAATCCGGAAACAATGGACATAGCACAAAGTTGAAGCTTACATTAACATCGGTGGCCTAAAGAGGCAAACGTTAAGAAGTGTGGTGTTGTTCATATGTTATTTGGTGTGTAGCAACAACCTTCCATTAGAGAGCGCCATACTCGCAACTCCATATGACACCACCCAGCTCAGCTTCCACATTTAACGTTTTAAACAAACACAAACCTGAGCCAAATACTATGTGAAACTTTTCAGCAATGACCCGATGTCTATCTAAGTCTATCGATTGTCCCTTGATTAGGGGAAGAAGAATGTTTATGGTAGATTACTTCCTGAAACACCTGCAGGGTGATTGGCCACAACTGCGTAACCTAGGAGAATACAGCTGGACTATAGCCCTGCCTGCTTCTCACTGTGGCCTACTTTCCCACCCACATAAAAAAGTTAGCATCCCAAATGAATTCCGTATGAAGTTAACTACTTTTGACCAGAGACCAATGGGCTCTAACTAGGGAATAGTAGTTGTCCATAGTGCCATTTGAAAAGCAGGGGCTTACCTCTCTCCGAGTGGTATCCAGGGGCTTACCTCTCTCCGAGTGGTATCCAGGGGCTTACCTCTCTCCGAGTGGTATCCTACAAAGCAGGTTTAAGTAGAAACCTGGACTAGATGTAACATAGCAAATGTAAATCCAGGACACTCCAGTTAGTATGATATGTTATGTTTCACATGGTATGTATTAATTTGTGGATGTCCATCCATTTCATATGATATGTTACGAATACAAATGTGTATGATACTCTACATGGCCAAAAATATGTGGACACCTGCTCATCAAACATCTCATTCCAAAATCATGGGCATTAATATGGAGTTGGTCCCCCCTTTGCTGCTATAACAGCCTCCACTCTTCTGGGAAGGCTTTCCACTAGATGTTGGAACATTGCTGCCGGAACTTGCTTCCATTCAGCCACAAGAGCATTTACAGTTAGTGAGTGCATACATTTTCCATACTGGCCCCCCGTGGGAAACGAACCCACAACCCTGGTGTTGCAAGCGCCATGCTCTACCAACTGAGCTACAGGAGGCCATTAGTGAGGTCGGGTACTGATGTTGGGCGATTAGGCCTGGCTCGCTGTCGGCGTTCCAATTAATCCCAAAGGTGTTCGATAGGGTTGAGGTCAGGGCTCTGTGTAGGCCAGCCAAGTTCTTCCACACCGATCACGACAAACCATTTCTGTATGGACCTCGCTTTGTGCATGGGGGCATTGTCATGCTGAAACCGGAAAGGGCCTTCCCCAAACTGTTGCCACAAAGTTGGAACCACAGAATCGTCTAGAACATCATTGTATGCTGTAGCGTTAAGATTTACCTTCACTGGAACTAAAGGGCCTAGCCCGAACCATGAAAAACAGCCCCAGACCATTATTCCTCCTCCACCAAACTTTACAGTTGGCACTATGTATTTGGGCAGGTAGCGTTCTCCTGGCATCCGCCAAACCCAGATTCGTCCGTCGGACTCCCAGATGGTGAAACATGATTCATCACTCCAGAGAACGCGTTTCCACTGCTCCAGAGTCCAATGGCGGCGAACTTTACACCACTCCAGCCGACGCTTGGCATTGCGCGTGGTGATCTTAGGCTTGTGTGCGGCTGCTCGGCCATGGAACACCATTCCATGAAGCTCCCGACGAACAGTTATTGTGCTGACGTTGCTTCCAGAGGCAGTTTGGAACTCCGTAGTGAGTGTTGCAACCGAGGACAGACGATTTTTACGCCCTACGCGCTTCAGCACTCGGTGATCCCGTTCTGTGAGCTTGTGTGGCCTACCACTTTGCGGCTGAGCCGTTGTTGCTCCTAGACGTTTCCACTTCACAATAACAGCACTTACAGTTGACCAGGGCAGCTCTAGCAGGTCAAAAAGTTCACAAACTGACTTGTTGGAAAGGTGGCATCCGATGACGGTGCCACGTTGAAAGTCACTGAGCTCTTCAGTAAGGCCATTCTACTGTCAATGTTTGTCTATGGAGATTGCATGGTTGTGTGCTCGATTTTATACACCTGTCAGCAATGGGTGTGGCTGAAATAGCCTAATCCACTAATTTATTACGAATTTGCTAAACGTATGATATGTTACAAATTCCAATTTGTTGTGGCTAATGTTAACTTGGTGGCTAAAGCTAACGTTAGCTAGGTGGCTAACGTTAGCTAGGCTAGGTGTTAAGGTTAGGGTTAGGAGATAGGTTAAAGGTTTACGGGAAGGGTAAGCTAACATGCAAAGTAGCTAAAAAGTAGTTGCAAAGTTGCTAAAATGCTAAAGTTGTCCGTGATGAGATTCAAACATTCAAGCTTTATACGCCCACCCATCCACCCTTGAGACTTAGACCCTCAAGACTCAGGACTCAACTTTGACTTGAGAGTGATGACTTGAAATTACCTGGCCAGGTTTTGTCTCATTTTGTGGCAGAGTTTCCATGGATTACTCTCCACGCAGCCAGAGACAGTAGCCAGAGACAGTAGCCAGAGACAGTAGCCAGAGACAGTAGCCAGAGACAGCAGCCAGAGACAGCAGCCAGACCAGAGCCGCAGCATCGACTTGCAACAGATTGGCTAGCAAAATGCACACTCT